CTGGTGGACACCCGCATCCTGGAGGTCAGCACCACTCACCAAGTTCGTCGAGAACGAGGGGAGGTAGAGACCAGTCAGGGTGCCAGAGGGGGCCGCCGGACACGGGAGGACAGTGGAGAAGCGAGACAGGACAGGCCCCCCAGAGGGGTCAGCCAGGGACACCGCAACCGGCCGACTCAGCGGCGTGAGAGTGGTGCGGTCCCTAAAGAAGGAGCGAGACGCTCCAGAGTCAAGGGTGAAGGTGTGAGAGGCCGAAGCCGACACAGTACCTGAGAGGGCAGACTCACCAGCACCTGAGAGCACAGACGCACTGGCACCTAGAGCAGCAGCCTCACTAGTACCTGACTCGGCAGTACCAATGCCCGGGTCGGGCGGGAAACACCGGTAACAGTCATCCTCATCACTACCAGTCACAGCATACATAGCAGAGAGAATAGCATCAAAATCAAGATCATAAATAGCTACACCAGCCCTAGACAGCTCTCCCCAGCGGGGGATCTCAGCGGCCTCCGGAAACTGCTGACGCCAGGCGTCGGTCAGGCGGCCAAAGCAGCGGCGGGCTGTGTGGGCGCCTCCACACCTCTCCCCTGCACGGTCACCTGTGCGAAGAACGTAGGGGCAGGGACCAAGCGCCCCACCACGCTGACGCTGCAAGTACCACTCACGGAGCTGCTGAGGGCCGGGGACGATGCGAGAGCGCTGCTGCTGCTGTGGCTGCTGCTGCGGCTGCTGCTGTTGCTGCTGCTGCTGCTGGCGCTGACCACCCCCAGAGCTGCTCCGCTGGGACGAGCCACTCCGACCCCCGCCTCCACCGCCACCCCCCGCCTCCACCGCCACCCCCGTCTCCACCGCCACCTCCCCCACCAGGACCGTCGCTCCCACCGCTCCCACCGCCTCCTCCGCTACCACCTCCGCCGCCACCTCCGCCTCCACCGCCGCCACCAGTACCTCCACTCCCGCCACCACCCCCACCGCCACCCCCACTCCCCCCGCCACCCCCACCGCCTCCTCCACCGCCCCCTCGAGCTCCACCCGCTCCCCTGCCCCCCTTGCTCTTGCCAGAGCGGCGTCTGCCGCTGGGGGCAGACGCCGCGCCGACCGACTCAAAACCAGTGAGGTCGGCCGCAGCGGCAGAGGCGACAGAGGGCAGCAGGGGGGAAGGACCACACCCCTCAAAGATGGGGGTGCGAGGGTCACCCCGAGAGGCCCCTACAGCGACAATACTCTTCTCAGCCGCTAGCAGGGACTCCTCAAGGAGGTCGACAGTGAGAGTGGTGGGACAGACAGAGAGAAACTGGTCCCTAACGACACGAAGGGACTCAGGGAGACGGGTGACGAGAAAGTAGAGGGTGATGTACATGGGAGGAGGGTTCGCAGCGCGGAACTCAGCAGGAAGGGCAGCGCGGTAGCGGGTGTCACTAGCACGGAGGTGGGTAACGAGGTCAGCGACAGTGGGAAAGGAAGCGAGGTCAGGGAAGAGAAACGGTAGCATGAGGCGGCTAAGGGTAGCGGAGGAAGGGGAGGAGTAGCGTGCAACTACAGCGTCGTACAAGGCCTGAGCGGACTTGCACTGACTAAAGTGGGCACGCTCAGAGGAAGGGAGGTGGCGACGCACAGCAAGACGTGCAGCAGCATCGCGGGTCGCCCACTTGGAGCGAACGGCAGAGTCAGCATCAGCAGGTGGGGCAGGAACAGCGCCAGAGACAAAGTCAAAAAGAGAGACCTCATCTATCGCATCACACAGTAAGTACAGCTGCAGGTCTTCAATCCAGACGGCAAAGTCAATGGCCCTCCCCTCAGCGTCAAAAGTAAAAACATTGGGGGTGGCCATGGCAGCAGCTGGAAGTCTCACCGGGCTGGGAGAGTCGGGTAGGTCAGCAGCAGAAGAACACAGCTCAGGAACAGCAGCACGGCGGCTCGGGCGGCTCGGGCGGCTCGGGCGGCTCGGGCGGTTCGGGCGGCTCGGGCGGCGGCTCGGTCGCAGCTCACCGGCGGCTCAGGCGGCGGCGGCTCGGCGGCGGCTCGGCTGCTGCTGGGCGGCTGGGCGGCGGCTCGGGCGGCTCCGGCTCGGCGGCGCAGGCGGCGGCGGCTCGGCGGCGGCCCGGGCGGCGGCTCAGGCGGCGGCGGCTCGGCGGCGGCTCGGCTGCTGCTGGGCGGCTCGGCGGGGCCGCGGAGCAGAGGGCGGCGGTGCCGCGTAGGAGAGGGCGGTGGGGCCGCGTAGCAGAGGGCGGCGGGGCCGCGTAGCAGAGGGCGGCGGGGCCGCGTAGCAGAGGGCGGCGGGGCCGCGATCGAGGGGCGGCAGGGCCGCGTAGCAGAAGGCGGCGGGGCCGCGTAGCTGAGGGCGGCAGGGCCGCGACGTAGGGCGGCGGGCGGGCCTTCGAAGTAGGGCGGCGGGCGGGCCGGGACGTAGGGCGGCGGGGCCGCGACGTAGGGCGGCGGGCGGGCCGTCGAAGTAGGGCGGCGGGCGGGCCGGGACGTAGGGCGGCGGGGCCGCGACGTAGGGCGGCGGGCGGGCCGTCGAAGTAGGGCGGCGGGCCACGACGTAGGGCGGCGGGGCCGTCGAAGTAGGGCAGCGGGCAGGCCGCGACTTAGGGCGGCGAGGCCGCGCGATAGGGCGGCGGGGCCGCAAGGTAGGGCGGCTCGACGGGTCGCTAAAAAAAAGGACGCGCGCCTCGGGGCGCGCTTCGGTGGGCCCAAGAAACAGTCCCTAGTAGGGGACCTGCTCTGATACCATGTGAAAGAGAGAACGCGAATGGAATGACTATGAAAGAAGTGAGTACAAATAGGAAACCCTAATTGCGTTGTACCCCCTATGGGATACCCCACTATAGCCTACACAATAGTATAAGCTATATAGTTCTGACAGTTGCGACTTGCGTACGTGGCCTCTGAGGCCAACACTGCTGATGTGTTCACCAAGGCACTCGCGCCTTGTGACCATCAGCGCTTTTGCACCCAGCTGGGTCTTGTGCCTGTCTTGCCTCACTTGCTCTCCTCTTGACTTCACTTGTACTGTGACATATATATATACCTGCTCTTGCTTGTCTAGTTTTATATATATGTCTGTACTCCTGCATGTGAACTGGCCTCTGGCCCTGCTCTTGTGCTCGGACTGTGTGGTGACTTTGTGATCCACCCTGAGCTTGCTTTGCTTTGCTTGACTGGTCTTGTGACCCCTTGTTCTCCCCCACTTTGCCTATGGGGGTGTGTCAAACATTATATATGTTCTGCTTGTGTAGGCTACAGTGGGTTAGCCTATAGGGGGTACACAATTCTAGGGTTTCCTACTTGTACTCATTTCACTGCTAGTTCATTCATTCCTGTTCGCTTATTCTCACATGAGATAATGGCGCTGTTCTGTAGGCGTTAAATTTCTAAAATCTGGGTCCGCGGAATTTTAGTTGATAAGTAAGATTCTGCATATCAAGGTTTGGTGATACGAGAGGTCCCGCCAAACCTGTTTGCGCCAAATTTGACACTTCTGCCTGCAGAACACCACTTATGGGGCGCACGAATTTAACGGAGTGAAGGTTCCAGGATGTAGCATCGCCAGGCAAATGTCCACACAACTTGTGCGCTCCCAATTCAACCTGGAAAGCTAGAATCAGCCAGCGCATAAGTTGTGCGGGGCAGCAATTTGAGGGGTTGAGAGATTTGGCGAGACTTCGTGGCAACATCAATCCAGCAAATTGAGAAATGCGGGATTTGGATGCGGCGAGAAGCTACTTGGAAGGACTTGCCCGTACATTTCATGCGGAAGCATTAACGCCTACAAAACAGCGCCAATAAAAACATGCAAATACAACACTATAAATAAGAGTACAAGGGAATACCAATCGACCTAGCTAGCCATGTACACTAAAGGGTACATTTCCTTATTACAGCGAAACTCAACCGTGCGACTCCAGGTGATTACGGAACTGTTTGGGCAGAATCCTCGCCACTGCTGCTACCAAGATCCCAACCACTAGACCATTGGGATAAAATGGCTTGTTAAGTAGCGGGTCAGTGCGCCTATAACCCCCCAGGACAACGAGCCTGTAACCCTTCCCTAGGATCAATCGGGGATTACAGTGGACCTCTGACACCCCATCGCATTGGGATGCCCGAAGTGCACATATTGGGATTCGAACCCGAGACCTTCGCTCTGATACCATATAAGAACCCCAACCACTAGACCATTGGGATAAAAAGACTTGTTAAGTAGCGGGTCAGTGCGCCCATAACCCCCCCAGGACAACGAGTCTGTAACCCTTCCCTAGGATCAATCGGGGTTGACCAGTGGACCTCTGACAATACTGTCTGCTCGATGGTCTAGATGCTTTCGTAACCGTACGACCCTTCGCATCACTTCCACCCTTTCGGTTTGATTTTCGGTAGTGCCTGCTTCGCTAGCTGCGGTAAGGAGTGCACAATAATTCATTCACTTTTTACGATTCATAACAATTACGACTACTCCGAAAATAATGAGATCTAACATTGATATAGCGAAGGGTAGTTACGTCGAAGCCGCGGAACATCACATGTTCGGGTGCAGGTTTGGGTTTGGAAAACCTGAAGGCGAAGCGAGGGACGTTTGGAGGGCGAGGTTGTTGGACCGAGCCTGGAACTCCGAAAGTTGGAATTTTTAGGCGCTACAAGGAGTAGCTAGTAACATTTTGGTTCTACTACTGGTCGAAAGCTAATCCCACAAATACTTGATCAACATTCCATGACACTGGGACAGCGACAGCTCATCCAGTCCACGTCATGCCCTATGTTTGCATCCCCTCCACACCCCGCTGATCGTCTCCCCTTTTCCCCTTTCACTTTTGCGCCTCTGCGTTCCCCCTTCCGCCAACCGTCCCCCGCCCTCTTCTTCATTGCGACCACTCCCCATCACAGATCCCACCCACGTATCTGCTAGCTTTCCTCAGTCCTAGTTTTCTTTCCGCCTAACCCAATCTCGCCAGCTCCTCTGCCTGCTCATTTACGCGCCTTTTACGCGCTCTTTTACCATCATGACGGCCCAGGAAGTAGAAGGTAAATTACTTGAATTCGGGTAGATTATATGTCTAGGGTGAAAGCTGGGAATATGGTGGCTTAGGTCGAGTGCGGTGGCTGCGGGCGTCGCCTTTTCCGTTGGTTTTCGTCGGGTATTACAAGAGCGCATCCCAGTCTCTTCCTGGAGTCCATTATTCTCAGCAGCTACCTAATCTTCCGTAATCTGCAAACCTGCACAACGATCCATTCTCCCGAGCAAATTTCTGTGCCTGACACAAAATCTCGTTGCCCCTGACTGTCCGACCGTCCCGCCGCCTCAGGTGGTGTGGCGGAGCTGAAGCTCAAGGAGCAGGAGGCTGCGGCGGCGGCGGCCAAGGAGGAGATGACGGTGGAGGACAAGGAGGAGGACGAGGAGGACGATGACGAGGACGATGATGAGGACGACGATGAGCATGGCGAGGAGGGCGATGCTGCTGGCAGCAACAGGAAGGGCAAGCAGGTCCGGACCCCATCGCTATGGCACCGCCTGCTCCCCCCCCCCACCCCCAACTCTTTCCCCCCTCCCCACAGCCCCCTTCCCCTCTCTCTCCTCCTCACACAGGCCCCTTCCCCCTCCCCCCCAACCCCTTCCACCCCTTCCCCCCTTCCCCTCTCCCCCTTACCCCCGTTCTCTCTCCTCTTCCCCCCTCGTCCTCCTGACCCCCCCTCCTCTCTTTGGTTCGTCGTTCCTCCTTCCCCCTTCCCCTCCCCCCTCTCCCCCCATCACCAATTCACGTCTTACTTTCTTCCCGAATCTGTCCAATTCATCCTCTCACGCACACATATCCATATGGTTCCCTTGGTACGCCTGCTTTCCCCCGCAGAGCCGCAGCGAGAAGAAGGCGCGCAAGGCGATGCAGAAGCTGGGGCTGAAGCAGCTCACGGGCGTGTCGCGCGTGACCATCAAGCAGAGCAAGAGCACGCTGTTCGCCATCTCGCGCCCCGACGTGTTTAAGAGCCCCGCGTCTGACACGTACATCATCTTCGGCGAGATCGAGGACCTCAGCGCGCATGTGCAGTCGCAGGCCGCGGAGCAGGTAATGAAGGCGCGGAGGGCTGGCTTCGTGGATGGGTGTGGTGTGCTTTGCTATTGGGATTGTCGGGATTGGTGGAGATTCGCTGTTTCTGGTTTGACCTTGTTTGTGTGAATTTCTGGTCAGCTGTTAGGGTTGCGCAATTGATGTCACACCCTGTTTGCTCCCGGCCGCCACTCACCCCTCACCATCCCTTACTACCCCGTATCTGTGCCTTCCGCAGTTCAAGGTCCCAGACTTCGCAGTACCCTCAAAGGCGGCTGAGGGCGAGGCGGCAGTCGAGACGGAGGAGGATGTGGATGCCACTGGTGTGGAGGAGAAGGATATTGAACTTGTCATGACGCAGGCTGGCGTCTCCCGTGGCAAGGCGATTTCCGCATTGAAATCCACTGATGGGGACATAGTGGATGCAATTATGCGGCTTACAACGTGAGATGTAGTGTAGAGGAGATTGAGGTGAATGGCGCTTCAGGCATGTTGGCCGAATTAGTCTAGACGTTAGTCGCCTGTACTGTCCCCCGTGACATGTGGTTTGAAGGATTCAGTTAACAAGTTAATGAGCTATTGATGCTTGCCAGTTGAGGATGCGCGATTAGTCTCATCACCTGGGCAGACTTACCAGGTTATATAACATGCGAAACCGGTAATTGAGTGCTACCTGATCCGACTCATATTGAGAGCTAAGAGCCTGGATGAACTGTGGTTGGATAATATACAAAATTTTGACCACCTGCAATGTGAGAAATGTATAAGGGGCTAAATCAAAAGCGGTTAATATATCTATTGAGCCATTTCTTTTAACGGAATAAATTTTTGCTCAGGTGGCTGGGTTGGATTGCGGTGCGTTTTGTCTCCATTTATGGCGATCGCATCAAATGCAGCATGGGTGCAAGAATCTTCGTTGCGAATCTTTTTTCATTCTCGCGATTTGTGGAGGCCTGCAGCAACGAATCCAGGATTTGCATGCAATCACTGTTAGGATTCGATTGCACGATTGAGTGAACGACTTGCTCGTTACCTGCATGGCAGGGAAGAAGTTCAGTTCAGATGGAGCTGGATGGTCCAGAAACTGCCCTGAACCCTTTTCCAGCTCAGGGTTTGCTTTGTGTGACCTATTGTAAAAAACCTTGTTCCGACCGAAATGAGAACGGGAACTTTGTTACCACTGTCGATACATAAATGTGCGGGTAGTACATAAATTTTCAGGCAGTGTCGTGTTGCTAAAGTCCTCAAAACCTTTGAGACAACTGGAATCCAAGAATGGTTTGCAACCATCATAGTGATACTTGTTGGATCTCATGCACGCGCGAAGCGCTGGCATGGTGAGAGCCAGTCTTAATCATGACAAAAGTGTCAGAGGGAAAATGGTTGTGGTGCTCAAGTGACACAGTCTCTGTAGAGTGAGTCAATAGCGAAGCTCCCCCTTCTCCCTGGCCCACTTTCATCGAGCTGTAAGAGCAATCATAGCATTTAGAGGGGAGTCGTGCGCGTGCTGCAAGTGCTTCTCCATCCTTCTTTCACAGTTGCAGGAGTACATAATTTAAAGTTGTTTCCGTAAATGGGAGGTTCGTTTTGAGACAGCCGAGAGCAATATCGTTTGACTGGATTCTTTGTCATGATGTTCGGAAAGACATTTCTTCTTTAGAAATGCTTCTCGTTAGATGCTGTCACTTATTCAAGTTCTGTTGGACAGCCTTGTGGTGAGGTGTGCTCCCGTAATAAAAAGCCCTAACTGCTCTCCGGAGAACTGTGTTAAACAGCAGTGATGCAGTCGATCTGCTCATTCCGCGTTAGCGCTTCGGTTCGTTGGCAATGCACTGGCCGAATCCCATCTCAACCGAATTGAGTGCCTTCTGTTGGAAATCTGCCCCACCCTGCTGTAACATGGAAGTCACCACCGCACCATCGCCAGCGTTGCAGTCGCACATCTTTCGCCTCGCTTGGCTTGACTTGGGCTGGCTTGTCTTGGCTTGGGCTGGCTTGTCTTGGTCTAGCCTGGCTTGTCTTAGCCTGCCCCCCAGCCCCCACCACCAGCACACCACCCCCTCCTCTCCCTCTGCATGCTCGTCCCACTCTCCCATCTCCCCTCCCTCCCCACTCGTCCCTCCTCAAACTGACCAGAACCATACGCCTTCACTTGTTGTACCTCACCTCACCACCTCCCGTGTATTTGTTGTTCACAAACACTCAGCAGCACACCAGACCACACAACCAGGTGAAGACACTTCACTCCACTCTCGCCCACGTTCCCTCCCCACCAAAACCAACTCCATCCACTCATACGTAATTCGCTCTCAGGATTTCTTCACCTCAACTCCCTACTTTTGTTCCCAGCCTCTAGTTCATCTCAGCGTTTGCATTGTTTCTTCGCAATCCGCTCAAAACACGAGATTGTGCCTGGCCCCAAACTTGAAGTTTCGAGTCTCTCGCTTCGACGAACATAAGTGATAACACCTAAGGCTGTTGATCAAGACTCAGCGACCCACGTCGTTCCACTTCAATCTGGCTCCTCTAGCAGTCTCCATGGGCCAAAGCGGCATTAAGTCCCCATCCCGCGACGCCATTCTCGAGTTCCGTTGGTCGTCACTCCTTACAAGCAGCAATCTCGTCCATCCTTCTTCATCTCACCGCTCCGTGCCTGCGGAGGCACCGGCGATGGTCCCGGTAGCGCCGGATTGTCCGGCATTGAAACGGCTTCGCACGTGCTCGAGTAGTACAGACGATGCTTCAATGATTGGCGACGGGATACTGTCGGCCAGCATCATGAAGATCGAGGCGGATTCTTGGATGCGTGGAGAAGAGGATTCAGGTGTCGAATTTCCGTCACACGCGCCGCAAGAGACGGCGGACTCGCAGAGCCGGCTTCTGCACCTTCCGGTACGTTCTCGCGGCTTCGTCCGACAAAGGACTCCTACCTCTATCGAAGGACTCGTAGAATCCTGTCTAGTATGCAGCTCTAGTAATCATCTATAGACCGCACACCGCTGCTGCTGTTGCTGCTGCTGCTGCGTCAAGTTTCAACGTTGCTGCGCAGTTTCCAGTACCGGGCTGACTATTTTTTCTTTTCCCTCCTGTTTCCCTGTCCCCCTGTCGCGCAGGGCGAGCTGCTATCCTCCATCGTCGCTCGAGTCGCAGCGTCGGCCAGTTGTCCCGGCGACATCGCAAATCTGCGAATGAGGTGCGTATGTCATTGCTCTTTTAAACTTCCGCTTGAGGTTGCTACTACTCCTCTCCCCTCTCTCGTTTGAGTATCTCCTTCGTCCTACTGCTTCGTCTCTTCCCTGACGCCTTCCCCTTTCCCACTTCCTCCTCCGCCTCTCCCCTTCCTCCTTGCAGCTGTCGCACCATGCGCGCAACGGCGCACGCCCCCGCAACGCTGGCCGCAGCGAGTTCCGCGGCGGTGGAAGTGAGGCTGCGCCAGTGGTGCCCTCACGCGCACCAGTTTTTGCGGGAGTGCTGCGAGGCGGGCAACGCCCCTGCCTGCCATTTTCTCGGCATGGTGAGCTCTCCTCACGGCCTCACAGCCTCACAGCCCCACAACAGCCGGCTGACTTCTGGGGATCCGAGCTCATGATTTCTCTCGTCTGGTTCGTTGCTACTTACTGTCCAACTTGCCTCCCTCTTTCTCTTCCTGCTCTTCTCTTCTCTGCTCTATTCTCCTCTGCTCTTCTCTCTTCTCTTCTCTTCTCTTCTCTTCTCTTCTCTTCTCTTCTCTTCCCTTCCCTCCCCTTGCCTTGCCTTGCCTTCCCTTCTCCTCTCTTCTCTTCTCGCGCTTTCCCCGAAGTCTAACACCTCTCCTCCTCGCCTGTCCACTCCAATCTCCTCGACTCCCCCACCAGGTCTCCTTCTACTGTCTCGACCTGCACGAGCGAGGCATGCAGCTACTGACGCGGGCAGCCATGGCGGGCCATGCACCAGCGCTCTACTCTCTTGCCGTTATGCACTTCAACGCCAGTGGATCGCTCGCCCCGCACCCTCGGTACGCGCACGGTCTCGCATGCTACTGCCTTAAACCATGCCATGCCGTGCCATGCCATGCCATTCCGTGCCTTGCCATGCCTTGCCATGCAAAGCCATGCCAAGCCATGTCAGACTGAACGACACCACTCTAGGGCTTTCTACCGGTTCGTCCCCGTCCCTGCCGCCACCCACCCGGTCCACCTCGCACCCCTCCTCCTCCTCCTCCTCTCTCCCGTTCTCTTTTCCGCGCTCCCCTCTTTTTCTGCGCATCTGTCTTAACCCTCCCTCTCTTTCCCCCGCATCCCCTGCCCTTCTCCCCTTCTTTCCAGTGATCTGCCTACAGCGGTGCAGCTGTGCATGCAAGCAGCCTCAGCGTGCTATGTGCCTGCGCTGCGCGAGCTAGCGCACTGCTTGCAGGACGGCTGTGGCGTGCCGCAAGACTCGCTCACCGCACACCACCTGCTCGCCCAGGCCAACCTCCTAGAAGCCTCTCAAAGGGTGGCGGCAGCAGCATCGGCATCAGCAGAAGCAACAGCAACCGCTGCTGCTGGTGGCCAATCGACTTCACTGCACAGATGTGCAGCCTCCGCACCAGCACCAGCATCAGCATCAGCGGCGCCAGTAGCAACGTCGACGGCGACCCGCGTGCTGCTGTCCGAAATTGCCGGCGCGGAGGGACCGGATGCGCTCATGCTCGTGCAGGCAGAGCAGGCAAAAGGCTCAAGAGCACACGCCAGCTCCTCTCTTGAACCCAAGCGCTGGACCTCCTTGGAGGGTGACAGACTGCGCAGGAATGGTCCTGGTCCCCTCAGCTCTCGTGTCAGGGATGCGAGGGAAGGGAGCATGTTGGAGGAGCAAGGAAGGATATGTCCTCTGGCTTCCTTCACCGGGACGAAAGAACTGACGGAGGAGGAAAGGCAGGAAAGGCAGGTGGAGGAGGTGGAGGAGGATTGGATGAGAGGGGAGGAGTGGGAGGCGCTGGGGTCTCCTACAGCTAGTGAGCTGCTGGAACTGCAGGTGGCAGAAGAGAGATGTCCCACTGACGCCTCACACCGCTTCCTTGTGGACTGGCATGCTGCTGCTGCGGCGGCTGCTGCTGCTGCCAGTGCGGACCGGTGTGCTGGGATGATGCGCGATGGGCCTGTGCAGTGGGGCGTTGCAGCTCGCGGTGATGGTGGTGGTGCCATGAGAATGGGTGAGAGCAGCGGTGCAGCATGCCTGGAGGAGTGTGGTGATCTGTGCAGAGAGACAAGCGCAGGGGTGGGTTTAGATGCTCTCGTGCGGCCAGCAGCACTGCCTAGTGCTCCACACGGCAGAGCAGCACAGCTTGCCGCGCATCAATTTATCAGTCATGCAGGAACGACTGGAGTAGGAATCTCAGTTGCTGCACCAGCAGGAACAGCAGCAGAAGCAGCAGCAGAAGCAGCAGACGAGTTGGCCACTGCAGAAAGCAGGCCAGGTCCGTTTCACTCCCCTGACCTTTTGTCGTCCCATCTGCACTCGCTCACCCCTCTGCAGTCCTGCTCTAACCCAATGTGTGGGCGGAAGGAGAGCAGGCCGGAGGAGTTTAGATGCTGTGCGGCATGTGGAGAGGCTCGGTATTGCTCCCGAGCCTGCCAGGCAGAGGATTGGGCAGGCGGGCATCAAGTGGCGTGCACTATGCTGGCTGCTGCAGTTATGGCGGTTGCAGAGTCAGAAGGAGCCCCACTAAGAATGTCTGGCGTGGTTGGATAATTTTTACTGGTATGTCAGTCCATCAACAAGAGGCATCCCAGATTGGGCAGGTGTGTGTTCTGATTCTGATGTATGTACTGTATGTTTCTGGTATTCACTAAACTGCATGCCATGTCATAAGAGCAGCTTGTGTAGGGAGTTTAGGAGGGTTATGCAACATAAAGCGAAGCAGTGGATTGGTGTGCTTACCCTGCCTTGATTAACCTTTTGCTGTATAACAATGTGGCTCAATGCAGCTACCGTCCTATTGTAGTCATTCTGTAGCACTTAGTGAGTAGTCTAGTGCTTACAATTGGTATTCTATGCTGAAGAGCCAATGTGGAAACCTTTAGCAAGTGAAATTGTGTCCTTAGCGAAATATGAAAGCTTGTACCTCAGTCCTTTTGAAACTAAATGCCTCGGTCAAGATTTACTCTAAAACGAAAAAAAATCCTTGACAATACTGTACGTACATAGCTGTACGTACAGTATTGTAGCGTAGGACCACACAGTTGGCAGGAGGAAATTGGGCGGTGAAACGGGCAGAAAAACTCCACTAGTGTGAAAAACAGGCGGGAAACTGGTGGCAAGCTAATCCGTTAATTGGCAAACTGTACAAACCCCGAGGTGTGCTGCTTTTTTCCGGATGCCCTGGTGGAGTTTTCGAGGATGTTTTTGTCAACAAGGAGGCCCTAGAAGTCGTCGTCTCATCTGCCTTTCGGGACAACCCCAGGGCTGAAAAGCACTAGGACGCTTTATCCTTATCCCAAGGTCTGCCGTGTGCAACAACCTCTCTATTTGCTCAATGGAGAGACCAACAGGTCCTACATTTCTAAACGTTTTGGGTAGACTTGGGTGTAGTGGTATCGCTACTCCGTACTATAGCTGCTAGTTCATTGAAGCTTCAATAGAGTGGTATATATTTAAAGACATGAGCGCATAGGGATGATACGTTTCGCTGCTGACAGCAGGTGTGGTGGTCCTTGGGGCCCTCCTCTGCCTTCTTATTCGCGCCGCCCTGTCTACTCACTCGCAAAGCCTGTCACCGGCGTCTCCAGTGCGTTACGTAATCCCCCATTCGCTTTCTCTCGCTGCGTTGAGTAGTCATAGTTAGTTATAGAAAGTCTGTCACGCCACTTAAGCTTAACAGTTTAACTCCTTAGTACGTAGTGCGTGGACTGCCCGCGCGGCTCCCTGCTGACTTCCGTCAGCAAAATTGGTCTGGTAACCCGTCGCAGCTTATCGCAGCGGCAAGTTGTTTTCTGGGTGCTGACAACGAGCTCACTGGTAGGATAGCAGTAGCAACGCAGCCTCGGGTACTTCTTTCCTCCTCGCATCTGTCACAACAGGATTGCTGGTCAGGCGACTTCGGCTGGCGAGAGCGGAGGAGGATGGCTTGGAGTGTGCACGCCGTTTGAACAAGATGCGGCGTGTAAACGCACCGAACGGCACCGGTGACCTCTTTTGGAGAAAATAGCCGCCGCGCCAACTAACCTCTACCGTGTGGTTGTCGCTCCACATGATAACTTAAGCTTCTGATCATTATACTTGGCTACTGTTGAGGGTTCTGGCACACATACCCGTTCTTACTGTGCGTATATTCCCCGGAAAATTCTCCGCCCTATTCTTCTCCGCCGCACCCGCCACATCGTTCGCAATGCCGCGCCATCAGCCACCCCCATCCCGCCTGCAAGTCATCTACCAAGGATCCGCCTCTTCCCCCGACGGCTCCATCCGCGCGCAGCCGCAGCCCCTGCGCCCCAATTCTTCCGCCATTAAGCGCATGGGCGGACTGGGACGCGCAATTTCCCTCGGTGGCCCCCCGTCAAATATGACCGCGGGCGCCGGCGTGGGGATAGCTTCCGCTGGTCTTCCCTGTTCCGCCGGAGGGGTTTTCGGCGCAGGCGCAGGCGCAGGAACCGCCAACCCTGGTGTTTCGATCGTCAGCGCTGACATCCCTCCAGGAGCAGGATCCGCGGGAGCTGCTGCGCTCGGCGTGAGGCTTGCGCCTGGCGGAGTCATCCCCGTGCTCATCCGCCAATCCCTCTGCATCCAATTCCTCTTGGACCCGTGGACGGCGCGCATCCGCTGCGCCAGCGCGGGCGCGGAGCTCGCGCTGGGGTATTCTTCCGCGGAGTTCGACCGCCTGTCGCTCTGTCACCTTGTGGATAGCCTCCCCCTGGCGGACTGGCTGCAGCTGGTTGCGCCGCTGGCGGCGGGGGACGAGTTAGGCGCCAAGTTTAACATGAATCTGGTGGGGAAAGGGCGCCCGTTTTGCGCCGAGGCTGCAGCGGGAGGGGGAGGGTTGGGCGGAAGCGGAAGCGGGCTGGGAGGGGCAGCTGGCGGAGGGAAACGGGGATCGGTGTGGGGAGAGCAGCAGCAGCAACAGCAAGCGCCGCAGCAGTCGCAGTCGCAGCAGCAGGTCCTGCTTCCCGGAAAAGCGACGTCTCGTTTAGGCGCAACTCGTTTCAGCGGTGGCGTCGGCAACAGAAGCGGGCGGCTGAGCGGCGCAGCGGGGCTGTTCCCCCGGTCGGCGTCGACCACGGATCAAGACCTGTCTCGCTCCGCGTCCGTGTTCGACGCCACGGACGACGACTCCTCGTTCGACTCTGGCACGGAGGACGGCAGCGGCAGAGGCGCGCGCCAGGACTCCGGGTGGGAAGGCGGGCTGGGGAGAATGCGGGGCAGTGGCGGGGACGGAGGGGGAGGAGGCGGCGGAGGAAGCGGAGGAGCGGGCGGAGCGGGAGGCGGAGGCGGAGGGAGAAGCAGTGGGGATTTTCCGCGGGTGGGGAGTGCGGGAAGCTGGAAGGGGATGGAAGGTGGGGGGGAGTTGGGGATGGGGGTGGGGACGGGGCAGGGTGAGGAGGTGATGCGGGAGATTGCGGTATGTGTGAATCTGCAGTTTCTAGAGGTAGGCGGAGAGCGAGAGCTAGTAGCAACAGCTCATGAAATTCTCACCAGTACTGGAGTAGCAGGCGAAACTGACACCTCTTCATTATTGCAGCAGCAGCAACCGCAGCAGCAAGCGCAGCAGCAACCGAAGCTGCAGCTGCAGCGGCACAGCAGTCAGCAGCTCGCTGGTCCGTCCAGCGTGGGTTTAGCTGGCAGCGGTGGCGGGTGGGGGTCGGGAGGATACGGCAGGGAGAGTGGTTCGCCCAACGCTCTCTCCACCACCCGGGAGGAGGGCACAGAGTTTGGGACTGCGGTGGGGGGAGCGGGAGGGGGATTGGGAGGGGGTCGGTATTCGCCTGGTTGGCAGCAGACGCACACAGCAGCGCCTCCCTCGCGCTTGAGCAAGTGGCTGAGCCTGGACGTGGGGCTGGAGAAGGTGTCTCTGGAGGGGTTCGATGCGGTGGAGGACGGTGACAAGGCGGCGGAGTACTATGGTGCGACGTCCACGAGCAGGAGGGGCGTCAGGGGGGAGCGCGGGGGCAGAGACAGAAAGGCAGCTGTGGCTGTGGATGGCCTGGGAGTGGGCGCGGGAGGGAAGAGCCAGTCAAGGCGGTCGCGCTTGGGATCTGGTACGTGCTTGACAGCACGTGTTTGAAGAAGTGTTTTGAGACGTCTCAAAACACATCTGGTACGTGCTTGACAGCACGCACGCTCTGTGGTCCTCTACCCTCTTCTACCTCGGTCGGTCCTTGTGCTGATATGCTGATGAGTAAATGAAGGGGGGTGCTTTCTGTAACCAAGTAAAGACTTGTGCCTGCTAAGTACAGAAACCCTTATCGAGCCCTTCAATCGCCGGTCTATCAAAATTGGTTGAACCAAAAATGCTTTAAGAAGGAATACTGTCAGTCGTCCATGTCCCCTCCCACATGCCCTTCTACCTTTCTGTTCCGCCTGCTCTCCCAGATGGCAGCGGCACCATATCTCCCCCGCTGCTGTTCTCCTCTGCTCCCGAAGGACCTCCTTGGTTGCCCAACCCTGCTCTCAGGTCAGTCACACGCACGCACTCGCCCACCCAACGCAACACACCGCCTGCTCTCGTACCTACCAACCAACCACTTACTCAACCAACCGACAATGAAACAACCACACAAAGGAATGAACCAAAAAACTCTGCAATCACTCTTCTCCTTCCCCCCTCTCCCTTCCCCCCATCCCTTCTCCTCCCGCTACCCCGCCTACCGTTCCCCTACTCCCCCACTGTCCTGCTCCCCCTGTTCCCACCCATCCCGTCCTCATCTGATGCACGGCACGGCAGGGATCTACTGGACCATGTGGGCACGGCAGTGTTCGCCATGCGGCTGTGCACGTGCGAGATCTCCCTCGCCTCGCCCGCCCTTGCCTCGCTGCTGGGCCGCCCCCTCTCCGCCATCTCTGGCCGCTGCCTCGACGACTTCATTCTTCCTGACGACCTGCAAGACTTCCAGGTCCCCCCCACCCCGCACTGTGCACCCCCTCACCTCCCCTCCCCTCCGCACCCCCCTTACCTTCCAACATACTCCAGTTCTTTTTCCCCCCTGACGAACTGCAAGGTCCCTGCCCCCCACCCGCTCCCCTCCCTTCCGTATCACCCCTAGCTTAACTATAGCTGCCTGCACTATGACGCCTCTCTCGCTCCCTCCCCTTCCCGCCCCCTTCCCCACCCCTCCCTCCATCCATCATGCCTCTCCCCCTCTCTCCTTGCGCATCTCGTTTCTCGTATCATCCAAACAACCCTCTCTCTCCCTCTCCATCGCTTTCCCTCCCGCTCCTCACCCCTTTCTCCCTCCCTCTCTCTTTCTCACGAACATCTTCCATCCTCCCCAGGCCTGGGCAGCAGTGGTATCAGAGGCGGCTCAGGGCGGGCTAGCAGCGCTGGGCCCTCCCACCACCCACTCGCAGCCCTCTGCACCGCTCCACCAGTCACCCCACGGCCACACCCACGCCCAGACTCAGCAGCAGGAGCTTTACCGAAAGGAGTTCCGCGTCGCTCTCCCCAACAGCAAGACCCGCCGCGTGCGCCTCTCCTGCTGCCTCCCCCCGCCCGCCTTCCCTTCCTCCTCCTCCGCCCCCTCGTCGTCTGCCCTGGCTCTTTCCTACTCCTCGTCTCTTTCCGCGCTGCTGCCCTCCTCCTCCTCGTCCTTCTCCTCGGCGTCGCTTATCAGCCCTATGGACGGTCTTCCTGCTGCTGCTGGGGGAACTGGCGGAGCTGCTGCTGCTGCAGCAGCAGGTGGTTTGCTCATGTGCGCGCTTGTGGAGTCTCCACTGTCAGTGGCGAAGGAGTCATCATCATCATCAACATCGCCCTTGGACCAGCTCACTCTCTCGTCCGTGAGTGCTTGCACGCCGTGTGGTGTGCTACCCCCTTCTCCATCTCGCCTTGTGAGCTGACTCCCCCGCCTGAAGAAGCATCATATAGTTATGGTACCACTGGCCGCACCATCCTCTCTGCTTAGCCCCCTCCCTTCCCCTCTCAGGTCCCGGCAGTGGAAAAGGCGCGCATGGTGGGGGAGCCTCTGCCCGTGGGCGCAGTGTGGGTGCAGCAGAGGGAGGACAGGCCCTGGCCACCCCTGAATTCCCCCTTTCCCCCCACGTCTTACCCACCCGCCCACCTGTGGCAGGACCCAGCGGTGGAAAAGGCTTGTATGGTGGTGGAGTCACTACCTGTGGGCGCAGTGTGGGTGCAGCAGAGGGAGGACGGGGGCGCGACGGTGCTGCTGAACGAGCGCCTGGAGACGCTCGTGGGGTACTCGAGGAGGCACTTCACGTCCCTTGAAGCCACGTACACTGTGCTGTTCCGCGATAAGGCCATGGAGGTGAGGCGGGGGAGGGGAAGGAAGGAACAGGAGGGGATATGACAGGTGGGGTACGGGGGGGAGGAGGGGTGGAAGTGGGTACGGTGGGGTGTTGGTGGTTTATGGGGACTGAGGCGCTCGTGGGGTACTCGAGGAGGCACTTCACGTCCCTTGAAGCCACGTACACTGTGCTGTTCCGCGATAGGGCCATGGAGGTGAGAGAGGGGAGGGGGGCGTCCCTGCAGCGATGCTGACAGTTGAGCGACAGAAAGGGGGGTTGCGGTGGAGAGGGGGGAGCAGGTGGTTGTCCAGGGATAGGGGTTGCGGAGGGGGAGAGCAGAGCTGGATGCAAGGATGCGCGTGCATGGTGGTCACATCCTTTTTTTCGTATAGTGTGCCTCAGAATTCGCCTTTTGAGGCATCTAACAAGTCAGATTCAGGCTCGTCTCGTGTACGGATGACTGCACAGAACGGATACATGCATGTGCCTGTACTTTCATGAACCTCACCCATCCACTCCGTCCCTCTGTCCCATCCCCCCATCCACCCGCCCACGAACCCACCACCAATCACTTCCCTCCCCTCTCCTCCCCCACCCCCACCACACCCCACTATCCCTCCATACCTTCCCCCTGTGTTCGTCCGTCTTCCCCCAGGCGAGGTCGATGTTTGAGAGGGATCGGGCGAGTGAGCAGGTGGTGCTGCGCACACATGTGATGGTGCACAAGGATGGCGAGCGCCGCTGCCACCCCCCCCCCCCCCCCCCCCCCCCCCCCCCCGTGCACCCGACCATGTTTGAGCCATGCGAGATCAGATCAGACAGAGCATGCGCCCTCCCTCCTCTTGCCCGTCCTGCCATCCACCCGCTCACCAATCCACCACCAATCCCTCCCCTCCCCTCCCCTCTCTTCCCCTCCCTCACCCATCTGTTGATGCCTTTCTTCCATGGTTGTCTCCCTCCCCGCCAGGCGAGGTCGATGTTTGAGAGGGACAGGGCGAGTGGGCAGGTGGTGCCGCGCACGCACGTGATGGTGCGCAAGGATGGCGAGCGCCGCTGGGTGGAGGTGGCGCGCAGCATCTTCCCCGGAGGGGAGCTCTGGCTTGTTACGGATGTCACTCACCGGCTTGTCCTGCAGGAGCGCTTCCGGTTGCTGTTTGAACTCTCCACTGTGCGTTGCGGTGGCGGGGGCGATTGGGGGGGGGGGGGGGAATGGGGGAAGTGATGGGCACGTGGGCGCATGGGGAGTGACGAGCAAGCGTGTGGGGAGTGAGTGATGAGCATGTGGTGGTCAATGCATGCACCCTGCTCCACTGGCCATCTTACCCAGAGGGGAGCTCTGGCTCGTCACCGATGTCACTCACCGCCTCGTGCTGCAGGAGCAGTTCCGGCTGTTCTTTGAACTCTCCACGGTGCGTTGTGGATGGGAGGGAAGGAGTGACGGGCGCATGGGCACATGAGGATATAGCCACGTGGGCACATGGGCGGATGGGCACATGGGAACGTGGGGAACGACGAGCAAGCACAAGGGGAGCAATGAGGCACCCTGTTCCCTGTGCTCCGCTCTCGGCAACCCACTCATTCCCCTCATCTTGCACGGACCATCCAGCACAGAACTCAAAGCAGCACCCCCCAGTGCACTACTGTGCTGCGCCGTGCCATGCCGTGTCGTGCCATTCCTTGACGTGCCATGCCATGCCATCTATCTCTCACCCAATGTGCAGGACGGGCATCTACTGGTGTTGGATACGGGCATCAGCGACTGCCATGATGCTGCAGTGCAGTGGAGTGGAGTGCAAACCCTGCACCTGCACCTGAGCAACATTTCAGTCGACTCAAAAACCACTCCTCTCTCTCTCACACACACCCATCATGCAGGACGGGTATCTACTGGTGGTGGACACGGGCATCAGCGACTGCAACGACACGGCCGTGCAGTGTCTGCGCCCACGCCTGAGCAACATTTCAGTCGACTCAAAATCCACCTATTTCTCTCTCTCTCTCACACACACATACATCCAATATCCAGGACGGGTATCTGCTGGTGGTGGACATGGGCATCAGCGACTGCAACGACGCAGCAGTGCAGTGCCTGCACCTGGACCTGCGTCCGCGCCTGAGCAACATTTCAGTCGACTCAACAACCATCTCCCTCCCTCACACACCCAAACACACCCATGCAGGACGGGTATCTGCTGGTGGTGGACACGGGCATCAGCGACTGCAACGACGCGGCCGTGCAGTGCCTGCGCCTGAGCGACCGCAGCGACCTCATTGGCAAGCGCCTCGTGGAGCTCTCCCCCCCGCTGCAGCCCGATGGCCGGCGGTCGGAGGACAAGTACGAGGAGGTGCATGCGCTGGCTGCTGAACAGGGCCACACCAAGTGAGTGCCAGGAGGTGTGGAGCGTGGGGTGTGGGTTGGAGCTGGGGTGTGTGAGTCTGGGCTGTTGTCTGGTGGGTTGAATGGATGGTTTGTCTGTGGTGGTGACTCTAACACGGCTGGCACAGCACAGGAAGCCAGGTTCCCATGTTCCCACTCCCACTTCCCCTCATCCGCTCTCCCACCCTTCACCCTTGCCTCTCTACACCCCCCTTCATCTCTTTCCCCTCTTTCCCCTCTCTCCCCCCGTCTCTACCCACCACCTGTGTGCGCATCAGGTTTGAGTGGGCGTACGCGGCAGGGGACGGGTCAACAGTGCTGATGGAGGTGACGCTCACACACGTGGTGCTGCAGGGGCAGCCGACGCTGCTGGCCGTGTGGCACGACCTCACGGACATCAAACTCCACGCCGCTGAGCTCCAGTCCGCAAAAGAAGCCGCCGAGAAAGCCAGCCAGGCCAAGAGCCAGTTCCTCGCAAACATGAGCCACGAGATTCGCACGCCCATGAATGGGGTGATTGGGGTTGCGGAGCTGCTGCTGGGGACGGATCTGACGGCCGAGCAGCGGTCGTATCTGGAGATTATCCGGTCGTCGGGGGATAATCTGCTGAGGATTATCTCAGACATTTTGGACCTGAGCAAGATTGAGTCGAGGAACCTGGCGCTGGAGTCGCTGGAGTTTGACCTGCACCAGCAGGTGAGGGTCAGGACCGTTGGAAGGGTCAGGTTGGATTGGAAGGGTCGAGTGGAAGGATCAGGTTGAAAGGACATGTTGGAAGAAAGACAAAGGGCTGTATCTGGAAGTGGATTTGAATCAATGGCCTTTGTCTCCTCCCTGCCTGTCTCACATCTCGTCCGGCAGGTCACAGAAGCGTTGGCGCTGCTGGAGGTGGTGGCGAAGGACAAGGGGCTGTATTTGGAGGTGGAGGTGGAGGAGGGCGTGCCGCAGATGGTGGTGGGTGATGCAGTGCGGTTGAGGCAGGTGCTGCTGAACCTCATCTCCAATTCCATCAAGTTCACGGATACGTAAGTGAGGGTGGGGGCGTGTGCAGTTGGCACTCTGTGAGAGTTGCAAGGTGGGTTTGGTTGACTGACTGACTGATCCGAACGTGCATGCATGCATGGGTGCCGAGTCCTGGATGATTAATTTGTGACTGTCACATGCTGAATGGGGAGTCAGCTTGTGGCACGGCACAAATCGTGATGGTGTCATGTGATGGTGAGTGGTGATAATGGCAAGGTGTGCTTTCCTGCTCGTATGCATCGCTAAATGCTGTCTCCCTTACCAATTTCCATCGTATGAAGCCATTGTTCGTGTTAAATCACCTTTCACCTCTGCCCATCATCTCCTTGCTCTCCTCTCCTCCTCGTCGTTCCCTCCATGCCTTTTCCCCACACCAGTGGCGGGATCAGTGTGAACGTGCGACTGGCGCTGCCTGCTGAAATCACGTCAGTCAGGGCGATCCTAGCAAAGCTTCCCGCACCGGCACTCAACGCCAGGGGGGCCGCCGCTGCCATTGCCGCCGCTGCTGCTGCTGCCACAGCCACTGGTTCCACCAGCACCGGAACCAGCACCGGAGCTGGTGCAGCAGCCGCTGCTGGGATGAGTCCTGCTTCCGCTGCTGCTGCACCTGGTGCATCTGGTGCTTCCAGTGCTGCTGCTGCTGCTGCTGCTGCTACTACTACCGCACCCTCTCCCCTGGGGTTGTCGTCAGGGATGGCAGGGGCCGTGCACGGGAGGGGCAAGGAGGGCGGTGGGGCAGCGGGAGGAGGAGGAGGGGAGAGGGTGATGGTGCGGTTTGAGGTGCGGGACACGGGCATAGGCATGGATGATGCTGGCAAGAGCCGCCTCTTCCGCGCCTTCTCCCAGGTGAGGTCACAGCCGCCCGCTTTCCCCCTGCATCTGCCTCTCTCTGCCTCTTTCTGCCCGCCTGTGTCTCTCTGCCCGTGTCTTTCTGCCTTGATCATGCGTCCACTCCTCGAGTTGCAAGCAGGGTTGGCGATCTCAGAGTTAACAAAAAAAGAACTAACCTACCCACCACCTCTCCTCTCCTTCCCCTCCAGGCGGACAACTCTACGAGTCGCAAGTACGGAGGGACAGGCCTAGGGCTGGCGATTTGCAAGTCGCTGTGCAACCTGATGGGGGGGGACATAGGGCTGGAGAGCAAGGTGGGGCAGGGCTCGGTGTTCTTCTTCTTTGTCAACCTGCTCGTCGTGCCGGACCAGCCCAGGGGCGGAGGCGCCGTGTCGTCGGAAGCAGAGTCGGCAGAAGAGGGGCTGCTGTGGCGCCACCTGCAGAACATGCGCGTGCTCGTGGCCGAGGTGGGTGTGCTGTGCTCTCTTGTACTGATTATGTGCTTGCCTGATGGTTTGGCAGAGGTATGTGCTCTGGTGTGCTGGTTACGTGTGGTTTGCCCGTTCGATTGGCTGGGGTGTGTGCTTGTGGCAGAGGGGTGTGTGTGTGTCCATGCCACACAACCTGGGCATCAACCTCTCCCCCCCTTGCCATCCCCACTCCCTTCTGACCCTACCTCCTTCTTCTCCCGCAACCTCTTCCCTTCCCCCGCCCTTCCTCGCCCACCAGGACAACAAGGTGAATCAGATGGTGGCAACGCGCATGCTGCACAACCTGGGCATCAATTACGACCTCGTGGAGAACGGCCGCCTCGCACTCAGCGCATGCGAGGCACGCAAATACGAAGTCGTGCTCATGGTGGGTGGGTGGGGCGCACCGGCCCTCTCTTTCTCTTGCCTTGCAGGGCTTGCTGGGGTGTGAGATGGGGTGGGATGGGGTGGAGTGTGGTATTGTGTGGTGGAAAACGTTGGTGGCCAGGCGTGCGTGCCTGCTTTGTGCATCTGTTTGTCGCTGTCACTGTCAGTCCAATACCGTTGCTGTCACTGCTTTGTGCATCTGTTTGTCGCTGTCACTGTCAGTCCAATACTGTTGCTGTCACTGCTTTGTGCATCTGTTTGTCGCTGTCACTGTCAGTCTAATACCGTTGCTGTCACTGCTTTGTTCAAGGCACATTGTTCTGCCCCACCCCCCCCTCCACAGGAATGCCCTGTGCCAGAGATGGAAGGTTTTGAGATGACTGACTTTCTCCTACCACCGCTTCCTTCTCTTCCCTCGTACTCCCTTCTTCCATCCCCCTCCTCTCCCTTCCCTTCCCTCCACAGGACTGCCACATGCCGGAGATGGATGGCTTTGAGGCAACACAGAAGATCCGAGAAATGGAGGTGGAGCGAGTGCGCGCATACAAGGAAGCCAAGGCTGCAGCCAAGCTCCTGCAACAGCAGAACCCCGGGAACCCCCCGCCGCGCCGCCACCTCCCGCGCCCGCACCGCACGTTCATCATCGCTCTTACCGCAAGCGCTCTTAGCGAGGACAAGGAGAAGTGCATTGCTGCTGGCATGGACCATTATTTATCCAAGCCGATCCGGCCGCGGGATCTGGAGCGAGCGATTAGAGAGAGTGTGGTGGCTTTGAAGGACTTGCATGCAGAGGAAGGGGCAGCGGCGGCGGCGGGAGGGGGAGGCAGCACGAGCGCATCTGCTGCTGCAGCGGCGGCGGCAGCGTCGCGGTCTCGGAAACGGATGGTGAAGCTGAGTCTGCAGCAGTCGCCCAATGTGGATGTGTGGAGCGATATGACTAGTGATTCGGACAGTAGCGGGTTCTTCTCGGATGCTTCCGTTTCGTCCGCAACTGTTAGGAGGTATAAAGGGGCTGGCGGAACAGGGGGGGGGGGAGGAGGAGCAGTGGGGAGAGTGGGAGGGGCGCGGGAGCTTGGAGGGGAGGGATACAGCAGTGGGGGGGGCAGCGGGGGGAGTGGGGGGGGACGGCACAAGCCACCTTTGTCTTCCCCCAGGCGTATGAGACCTGTGCCGGAGGGGGCAGGTGCAGGCGCGGATGCAGGGGGAGGGGGTGGAGGAGGAGGATTAGCTACTGGTGGTGGTGGTGGCAGTGGTGGTGGTAGGTCTGGGTCAGGTGGGGGAACCAGGGAAAACGTACGAGGAGGAGGACGAGGGGTGAAGACGGAGAGTGAGGAAGAGGAGGAGGAGGAGGAGGAGGAGGAAGAGGAGGAAGAGGAGGAGGAGGAGAATAGGTGGAGTGAGGGGCTTAAGTCTCCAAGGGCTGTACGGAGGGGTAGTGGCACGACTAGTGGTTCTGAAGGGCAGAAAGCGGTGCTGAAAGGTGGAGCAGGAGCAGGAGCAAGTGGGGCAGTGGGTTTGGGCAGAGGAAGTGGGAGAAGTGGTTCAGGTGGGGCAGTCTCTGGGTCAGGAGGTCAAAGGCAAGGATATGATGGGCAGATGCCTCCTCTCAGCCCCAGGAGACAGGGAGGAGGACCCGCAGCAGCTGGAGCAGGAACAGGAGGAGGCTTTGAAGGAGCATCAGGTCAGCTGAGCAGCAGTGGGCAAGGTGCAAGTGGTGGTAGTGGTGGCGGGGGAAAGAGGAACCCAGGTGGTGGCGTGAGGGAAGGAGGCGGACCGAGGCCACCGCTGTCACCAAGAAGTAGGGCCGCTGGGTCCCCTGCTGCACCTGCTGCTGCCGCTCCTCCCCGTGCTGCTACCGCTGCCGCTGGTGGTGATGGTGGTGGGGGTAGGGAGAGTGGCAGGGCGGGATGGAATGAGCATGCGGAGGAGGCAGGGGAGGAGGAGCAGCTGTATATGGGGCAGCAGGATGGGGGGCTGACGAGTGACGATGGCAGCACAGGAAGTGCCCCCACTATGGAAGAAATCTGGTCCAAGATAAGTGGGGGCGGAGGAGGTGGGGGAGGAGGAGGCGGGGGAGGAGGAGGAGGAGGAGGAGGAGGAGGAGGAGGAGGAGGAGGAGGAGGAGGAGGAGGAGGAGGAGGAGGAGGAGGAGGAGGAGGAGGAGGAGGAGGAGGAGGAGGAGGAGGAGGAGGAGGAGGAGGAGGGGGAGGAGGGGGAGGGGGAGGGGGAAGCTTGGGAGGAGGGCAAGGAAAGAGTAATGCAGGAGGAGGAGGAGGAGGGGGCGGTGGAGGAAGCACGGGGGGGTTTGCGGGTACAGGGCCGGGAGGGAGAGCAGGAGGAGCGGTGGCAGCGACACGTTCGCAATCAGCCGTGGTTCCCATGCTGGGATTGTCCCCCACTTTCGCCCGCCCCTCCAGCCCTCCTCGGATCAGTGCTGCTGCAGCGGACCCTGACTCGCCTCCCACCCGCCCCTCGCCTTCCCCCACCCGCCAACGCTCCCTAGGGGGCCCGGTTGGGCGGGGCAGCGCGGAGGGAGGGCCTGGAGGTGCGAGAATGATGATGGATGGTGGTGCTGCTGATGGGTTTGCTTTCAGTTTCGGCTCCGCCTCATCTGTTCCTCTCAGCCCGGAACGCGTGCACGCATCAGCATCAGCTGGAGCAGGAGTGGGAGCAGCAGCAGGGAGCGGGGTCCATCAAGGGTCGATGTCTCCAGGCTTGGCCTTTCCCAGCTCAGTGTCCGCCTCAGGTGTGGTTTCCAGCTCCTCTGGTGGGCTGCTGTCTAGCCCTCGCATGGACTCCCGCCTGCCTCGCCCTGAGGACCACAGGCGGCGCAGGAGAGACAAGGGTGGCACTGGCATGGACGGGCTACACCTGGGCGCAGGAGGACCTGTGGCAGGGTCAGGAGGAGGAGAAGGAGGAGCGGAAGGAGGAGGAGGAGGGGGAGGAGGAGGAGGGTCGGGAGGTGCGGGTGGAGGAGGAGCGGATCCCCACGGCAGGTCTCCCTTGCGCTCTCCAGCCCGTGCCCGCCCAACAACACACCCAGCCTCTGTTGGTGCTGGTGCTGGTGGTGGTAATATGTCAGGGCATGCATCTGGGAGCGAGGGGACTTCGGACAGAGAGCGAGACCATCCCCAGGGTCATTCTTCTCAAACCCATGCCCTCCCGCATCCGCATCCGCATCCGCATGCTTCGCACCACCAGCACTCGTCCAGCCTGCATGCAGGCGCCGGCGCTGCAATCCCCCGCGGTCCCACGCACCAGGCGTCTGGCCTGCGCCGCTCCCTCACTCCCGAGGGGGGCGAGTACCCTGTGTCGTCTCTCCTCTCGCGCCTCACCAATCTAACTGCTGGAGGGGACAGCCCAGGAGGAGGAGGTGGTGGTGGTGGTGGGCCGGGCAGGGGAGGTGGAGAGGGAGGGGTGGGATCAAGACACATGCTAGCAGAGCCGTACGGACATGGGAGGCTGGGAGGAGGGGGAGGGAGCGGGGGCAGTGCAGGAGGAGGGGGAGCAGGGGGTGGAGGAGGGTTTGGTTATGGGATGGGGATGGGTGGGGGGATGGGGCCGGGGAGAGGCGGGGCAGGGGATCCCTCCCCCTTGTGGCGTAGTGCCAGTTTGGAGCCGCCCAAGAGGCAGATCCGCACGGGTGCTCAGCAGAAGGAAGCGCAGGATTTGAGAATGTGGATTGACCGTGCGACGACGTCGAAGCTGGATTTGTGGATCGATCAGGTGGTGAACAGCCCTAGTGGAAGCAGCAGCCCGGGGGGGAGCGGGCTTGGGGGGGGCGGAGGGGGATCAGGAGGGGGATCGGGCGGACGAGGGCGGAGCTCTTTGGGACTTGGGGAACGGCCAATGACAGCAGGAGGGGCTGGTCAGAGCAGCAGCAGCAGCAGTGGCAGTAATAACAACAGCAGCAGCAATGCTGCTGCTGCTGGTGGTGGTGGTAGTGGTAGGGTGTCTGGTAGGGCAGCAGCTGGAAGCACAGAGCCCTTGCACTCTCGATTACAAGCTCTGAAGCAGCAGGAGGGCGGGGGAGGAGGTGGCGGAGGGGGTGGAAGCGGAGGGGGAGGTGGAGGGGGAGGAGGGGGAGGAGGGGGAGGAGCAGGACAGCAGTACAGGGGCGGAGCAGGTGGGGGCAGCAGGGGAGGTGGGTTGGGGTCACCGGGGGGCAGCCCTGGAGAGAGCCCGAGAGGGGGTGGCAGTGGCGGGCCAGCTCAGCGTCGGAGCGCTTCGTCAGGCCATTGATTGGTGTAGAAGGAGATTGAGATGAAATAAAATACCCTGTGATGGTACGGTGATGGTTGCTCACGAGGTGTGATGGCGGGCTGGCGGGTGGGTTACTTTGGATTGGATCCGGCCGGCAAGCGGAAAGTGTGGGAAATTTGGCACTGCCCCAGCCCAGACCCAGAAGTTTTGATTGGCTGACTCGAGTGATTTGTTTGTTAGTGAAACTGTTAGCCATTCATTTGTAGCAGCCAGCCTTGTTGTCAAGCTTACGGGTAAGGGCGGGATCATCTGGATGCTCCATTTTCAAACTGAGCAAGAATGTGATGCACTGTTAGTGGAGACAAGTCTGTAAACAACCTGTTTTAGCTGCTTATGAATGTGAGGTATTTCTGTTATTATTAACTCATAGTAAAGATGATGCAATTGATGGGAGGTGTTACGAGTGCAATTGAGTGAACGAACGAGAATTGCACTATCGAAGCAAGAAATACAAATGAGCGAAGGCATGAGCGAACATTATATAGCGAAACTACAGTGGTAACGGTAATGGTCGCGCGACGAGCCTGGGACTGAGGTTGGGAAAGTGTCGAAGCGTAGGTCCGGAGCGCGGGTTACCAGCCGAGCCGTGAGGTCGGGATGCGATGTGCGAAAAAGGGCGGGATGATGAATGATGCGATGGTCGCGAGTGGTAACGGTGCTGACTGAGGTGCTACAGTGATGTACGCGTTGAGCAGGGACGCGAAGTAAGGAAAAGGGAATTTCCTTACACTACCCCCCCCTCCTAAGGAGGTCCTCCTTATGAAAGCGCGTGGATGTCTCGGAAATTGCGGCTACGCAGGTAGTCGGTGACGACGGGGTGAGTTTCAACTTTCTCCAGGGGAACCCAATTGTCCTCGGTGGGGGTACGATCTTTCCAGCGGATCAGGAACTCCACTTTTCGGGCTCCTCGAGGGTCGCGAACTCTGTGGCTCAGGATCTTGTCGGGGGTGATGACTGGTTCGGTTGGTGGTCGTGTCATGCTGGTGGGTCGATGTCGTGGGAGTTGGCTGGTGGATGGCACGTAAGGGCGAAGTAAGCTGACGTGGAACGAGGGGCTGACGTACCAGTCAGCAGGGAGGAGGAGGTGCGCGGTGACTGGCGTGACCATGTGACTGATTCGAAATGGCCCACAGTATCGAGGGCGGAGTTTTGGAGTGATGGGCAGGCGGAGGATCTGAGTGTCGAGTAAAACGAGGTCGTCGGGCTGATAAGTAACGGGTCTGCGATGGCGATCGGCGTTGCGTTTAGCGATGATGTTTGATTTTTTGATTGCTTCTGCTGCCCTGGTCCGTGCTGCTTGCAGAATCTCGGCGAACTGTTGTGCTCGTGGGACGGGGTTGTCGGGATTCAGTGTCATGGGTACTGTTGGGTCCTGTCCGTAATTCAAGTAAAACGGCGACTGTTGCGTCGTGGCTGATGGTGCGTTATTGTATGCGAACTCGATGAGTGGCAGCTGCTGTTCCCACGTATTCGGATCGTCGCACGTGGCTCGAATCAGCTGCTCCATGGTCTGATTTGTCCGTTCCGTCTGTCCGTCGGTTTCGGGGTGATAGGATGAACTGAACTGTAAGCGCGTGCCGAACTGCTGCCACAGGTTCCGCCAGAAGTTGCTTGTAAATTTCGTGTCCCTGTCGCTGATGATCGATGCGGGTATCCCGTGCAGTCGAACGACGGTGGTGATGAAGAGTCGGGCGGTTTCCTCGGCTGTGATTGATTTCCTGCATGCTGCGAAATGAGCCATCTTCGTTAGTCGATCGACGACGACTAGGATCGCGTCATTCCCACTCGCCCCAGCTGGTAACCCCGTGACGAAATCCATCGTCACCTGCTGCCAAGCACGCTCTGGGGGCGGGATGGGTTGTAATTGTCCCGCCGGCCGCTTCCTGCTTGACTTCATGAGCTGGCAAGTGGGACACGATGCCACGTGTCGTTGCACATCGGTCAACATTTCTGGCCAGTAGTAGTACCGCTGCAGCTGCTGCCGTGTTTTTTCTACCCCGAAATGTCCCGAGGTAACTCCGTCGTGTGCTTCCTGTAACAGTAGTTCCCGCAGTAGCGTGTATCCTGGTACCCAGATGCGGTCGGTTCCAGCTTTTACGTAATAGATGTCAGAATGAGGAATGGATGTTCCATTGATGTTGGTTGGGGTACATATAACAAACCCTAACTTCTGTACCCCCTAAGACAAACCTCACTACAGGCTACAACATTTGACACACCCCCATAGCCTAAGTGAGGGGTGTCTAGCAAAATCAAAAAGAGTACGGTCACAAGACCAGTCCAAAAGAAAACAAAGCTCAGGGTGGATCACAACGTCACCACACACTCTGAGCACAAGCAACAGTGGCCACAAGGCCAGTCCAAGAGATCACAAGTATATATAGCAAGTGTACAGACGAAGCAGGCAATAAACTCAAGTCTACACATGACTAGAACCTGTGTCAACAAGGCCTAACTGCACACAACACCTCTGGTGGTCACAAGGCGGAAGCGCCTTGGTGAAGATGTCTGCAGTGTTGGCCTCGGACTCCACGAACTCGAAGCGAGCCTGTCCACGTCTCTGCAACTCTCGCAGAAGAAAGTACCTGACGTGAATGTGCTTCACTCTGCTCTCCAGTCGCGGCTCACGACAGAGGAGGATCGACGCCTTGTTGTCAGTAAACAAGGTCGGTGCAGAGCTCGGCCGCTCACCAAGGTCGGTGAGCAAGAAGGTCAACCACCGCAACTCCTGTGCCGCCATGGCACCAGCGTAAATCTCAGCCTCAGCTGTAGAGGTCGAGACAGAAGAGGAGCGCGTGGAACGCCAGGAAACAGCTCCAGAACCCAGACTGAAACAGTACCCCTGAGTAGACCTGTGAGTCTCAGCGTCGTCAGCGTAAGAGGAGTCACAGTGACCAGTGAGTACGACAGACTGCTGCCCTCCAAGAACTAGCCCCACGCCTGATGTAGTCGCTAGGTACTTCGCCACCCTCACAGCTGCCGTCCAGTGAACAGGACGGTGTCTCCCTGGCGCAACAAAGCGCGCAAGGATGCTGAGAGGGAAGGCGAGGTCCGGGCGAGTACAAGTCATCAGGTACATGAGGCAACCCACAAGCTCTGCGTAGGGACCACTAGGCTCAAACGGCTCGTCAGGAAAAGGACCAGTGAGTCTGTGGTCAACAGCGAGAGGTGTGCGCTGTACGGTGGAGTGCTGAAGCCCGAACCGCTGAAGGACCTGCTGCACCATGTGTGACTGTGAGAGTGTAATGGTGCGAGCGGCTCTGTCCCTGGTGATCTGCAGGCCAAGGTAGTGGCGCAGCTCACCAAGATCAGTGCACGTGTGTCTCTTCTGCAGTTCGGACTTCACGTCTGCCAAAGCAACCCTGTCCGGAGTGGCGAAAACGAGGTCGTCGACGTAGACCAGAACAAAGAACGGTGTGGAGCCACGACGAACGAACAGCGACGGGTCGGCAGAAGACGGCTGGAACCCAAGGTCAGAGAGGGTAGAACGCAGAGTGTCGTGCCACTCACGAGGGGCCTGGCAAAGACCGTAAACAGGTCGCCTCAGCCTCCACTGGGTCCCAGGAGGGAAAGTGCCAGTGAAGGCCGAGGGACAACGCAACCAGACCTCCTCGTGTAGGCTGCCCTGAAGGAAAGCAGTGGAGAAGTCGAGAGAGTGTAACTCGTAGTCTCTCTGTGCTGCTACGTGTAGTAACACCCGAAGAGTGGTCATCTTCGGGGTAGGTGCGAAGGTCTGAAAGAAGTCAACTCCCTCGCGCTGACTGAAACCTCTAGCCACGTAGCGCGCCTTGAAGACCGGGGGAGATCCCGGTGGCCGCTTCACCCTGTAGATCCACATGCCGTCGACTACGTTCGCCCCAGGGGGGGGAACCTCATCGACGTAGGTGCCTGTGGATCTGTAGGAGGCCATCTCTGCGTCCATGGCAGCTCTCCACTGAGAGGCCCAAGGCCCTGACACTGCCTCAGCGTAAGTGCGAGGAGTCGGAATGTCAAGGGCGTCGGGGTCACCCTCAGGGGCGAGGAGCATGGCACAGAGATGAGGGGAAGCGGCCGCCAGGAACTCTAGCTCAAACTGCCTGTCCTCTAGGGCGTCACAGCCAAGGGCAGACACACCCCCGACGGCCAGAGGACTGGTAGGAGGAGCAGCCACAAGCGTGGTGGCGTAGTCAAGGCGGCGGGTAGAGGCAAAGTCAGTAACTGCGGCAGTAAGAGCGGACACAGAGGACACAGAGGCACGAGGGTGAGTAACAAGAGAGGCGAGAACACGAGAGAGAACAGGACGGTACGTGCGGTAGTAGTCAGTGACAGGAGTAGGGAGCGACACAGTGAGGGCCGACTCAGGAGGAGACGGAAGCACAGACTGAGACGGACGAGGTGGACTAGAAAGAAGGAAGGCAGTACGAAGGTCAGTGAAGGGAACAGGAGACGAGGGACGAGCACGAGGGGAGCGACGAGTAGCCCAAGAACGAGACGGAGGAGGAGAGGACAAAGGCGGAGAACTGGGGAAAACAGCGGGGGAGGAGTCAGGAGGAGGAAACGTGAGACCGTAGACAGGAGGAGAGGCGGAGGAGGGAGGAGAAGGGGAGGGGA